ATTGAATAATAAAGTTTTTTTTTATAGAATAAGGGTGACAAACGAGCACACAGCCCACCTGATGGTAAGTGGTTCCTGTGGCCCATAGACATCTACATCTATCTTCGTTTACGAATTAAAATGCAGATGCGTTGTCACCCGTGAGGACTAAGATAGTATGCCTCTTGTGTCTATGTTTCTGTTTCTATACGTCCCACTGCTGTGCACAGGCCTGTTCGCATTTTTGAGAGGGTTTTAGGGCAAGGAAGACTCCGCCGCGCTGTCCTAATGCGTGTTGGAGGAGTTTACGTCTTCGAAACATTTTTTTTAATTACTCAGGCATGCAGGTTTCCTCACGGTGTTTTCCTTCACCGCCGAGCACGTGGTAAATCAGCACTTACAATTGCAGTTAACAATTTCATTGGTGCCGGCGTGGATCGAACCCGGGTTGGTGAAATTTACAGCGAGGGCTAAGCCTAGCTTAGGCTACCACGGCTCCGTGTATTCATTTATATTATAATAACTCTTTTTATACAGTTTTAGTAGCTGTAGCTGTTATTTAAAAACAAAGTCCCGCAGAGTTTCTTGTTGGTCCTTCCCAGGACAGAGGTTTTTTCGAACCAGTGGTGATTAAAAAAAAAAGAGTGACTTTCAATAAGTATCATTTATAATCTATATTGAATAATAAAGTTATTGTTTCTGTATCCGACACGACCCGTGCTGCTACTGCGAATATCTTGACAAAAAACCCAATAACAAATGTTTTGGCCAACCTGGGATTTGAAACCGAGACAAAGCCACCAAAGTGACTCAGGACCCTGCTTTGTGGCATTCCTCGGAGGGGCATACGTTCGGCAGTGGACTTGTGAAGGGCTCTAATGATGATGATGATGATGAAACCACATCAAATACTGGTAGAAAATAAAACTTAGTATAGTGTCAACAAAACTTTATTGTTACGCTTTATACATGATTGTAGTAACAAAATCGAATATTGTGTACAAACTAGTTTTTAGAGTTTGTTGGTACAAACTTTAATTCAATTCTTTCAATATTTAAATGTTCATATTTGTGATTGTCGATTTATGCTTACTATTAACGTTTACAGATAAATATCTTTACATTTGTCAATTGAATCTATAAGCTAGCAAATAATTTAGATAATTTAATTTCTATAAATACGTACTACAGGCTGAGACCAACAACTAAGATAGAGAAAGCGTTGCGTTCATTTTAAGTGACGCCGAAATCAAGCAATTTTTTGAAACTTATTATAAGCCAGTGCTTGACCACAATCCCGCCAGCACGGCTAGCATGGGCTGGGGACAAAAAAATGATCCCACAATTATATCTACAAGAGATAAAATTATCTTGTCCCTATGCCAAAGCACGGCAACGGGGAGAAGTATAACCCCGTTTGACATAACGAGTAGACATATATCCCCCATCCGTAGCATGGAGCCAAATGAAAGATAAAAAATTATGCTTTTTTGACATTTGAAAGGGACAATTTTATCCTAGTTAATTGGACGCGGGTTTAAGTTTATATTCATACAAAAAATCTATCTATCTCCCATTTTATCATTAGACGTGGGTTTAAGTATATATTCATACAAAAAATCTATCTAACTCTATCTCCCATTTTATCTGATATAAATTATGTATAGATAGTAATCCACAGTAGATAATGGGTATAATTATCCACCGGTGTGCCCATGCTCGAAGGGTGGATAAATATTTTTTCCTTTCTTTGGGGATAAAATTGTCTCCTGCCCATGCTAACCCTGCTGGTAGTAAGTGGTGATGTAGCCCTAGATGGTAAATCGCATTGTCTTAGCGTAACACTCTTGCCTTGAAGACGCCCAGATTGTATTCGGACGGAAATGTAGGCGAACTAATACCAACTTTATTTTTTGAACGATACACACACACACACATATGCATAAAAAATAATTAACCATCACCAATGAAATTGTTAATTGGAATTTTTAGTGCCGATTAAGAATGTGCTAGGCGATGAAGTAAAACATCGTGAAATATTTCGAAGATATGTGAAGTACGCCAACACGCATTTGGGGCAGTGCGGTGGACATTTCCTTGCCCTAAAATCCTCACAGAAATGAGAGAAGGCTTGTGCCCAGCAGTGGGATGTATATAGGCTGTAACTAAACTTGTGATTAGAGGTACATAGGTTAAAGAAATATGTGTGCATGATGGCATGTCAAAAAGTTGCACGGTTTCCGTGTCACACATTTGGATAAACATATACATGTCTTTTTTTTTTGCTTTTGAATTGATTTTCCGCCTTTTATAACTTTTTTTTTATAGGAGAGGGGGCAAACGAGCATGCGGCTCACCTGATGGTAAGTGACTACCGCCGCCCATGAACAACTGCAACACCAGGGAGGGAATTGCAGATGCGTTGCCGGCCTTTTAAAAAGGAGTACGCTCTTTTCTTGAAGGTCCCTAAGTCGTATCGGTCCGGAAAAATCGCTGATGGTAATCGATTCCACAAGGAAGTCATGCGAGGAAGAAAACATCTTCTAAATCGCACAGTGGTGGACCGCTAATCATCCAGATGGTGTGGATGGTATCGGAAGTTCTGCCGCGATGTGCGTTCGTGAAATTTGGCGGCTGGGATTAATCCGAACAATTCCTCAGAGCACTCCCCATGGTAGATGCGAAAGAAAATGCAAAGGGTTGCAACATCTCTTCGCAGTGCCAATGAATCGAGCTGATCGGAAAGGGCTCGGTCGTCGACGATTCGAGCCGCTCTGCGCTGGATGCGGTCAAGTGGAAGGAGCTGGCACTGGGGAGACCCTGCCCAGAGATGGGAACAGTATTCCATGTGAGGCCGAACCTGCGCCTTATAAAGTTGCAGGCGGTGTGCCGGCATGAAATACTGTCCCGCTCTGCTGAGCACGCCAAGCTTTTTAGGGGCCAATTTGGCCTTCTCTTCCAAGTGACCACGAAACTGCACGTCACTCGATATGTCGACTCCGAGGATACCGATACTGGCTGAGGCAAGAAGGGGAGTGCCTTGAAACTGAGGAGATACGACAAAGGGACAAGGGATTTCATAAAACATAATAAATTATTATGTTTTATGAAATCTTTTTTAATAAATGGCCCAACAGACTTTGTTCTGCTTCAGTAGGTGGCATGTTAAGTTCCACTTTTTATGGTGTAAATTTAAATTTTTATTTATTACTCAGCTACAGCACCACCTCGGTTGCCAACACGCTTGCCAAGCGTAGTGACAACTTCCAAATACTAGCAGAAACGGAGAGGATCACAACTCATAACACATCCAGACTTGAAAATTGATACTGTTGACTTTATATTGTAGAAATCAACAGTAACTGGAAAATTATCTTAACTTTAGCACATGCAAGTAAATTGACTATGGTTTTCACCACTAAGTGACTACTAAAGCTTTTAACTTTTTTACAAGTATTTTACTTGTACTGCAGCAAATGACAATCTTATTCAGATTAAAAAGGGTACTGTTTCGAACAGGGTTTCCCAACCTTTTTTTGAACACGGATCACTTTGATTTTTTTGTAGTCAGCAGGGACCACAAGGTGAAAGAAATAACTGTGTTAATCTAACTATAAATATAATCACAGCTTTTAATATAATTATATAATAAACTGAATAGAAGCATCCATTAACAGTATTATTTGTGTATTAATTGTAAAAGCTAGCTTGTAACAAAAAAATAATAAGTGTATTACTTAAAACTATTAGGAAGGTAAAATATTTAAATCTTTTGCAGACTATATTTAAGCTCTTGTGGACCACTGGTGGTCCTCACCGCTTGGGAATCCCTTATTTAGAATAATAACATAATAAAATCATGTCATAAATTACAATAAAAGTATCTAATGGCTATTAAAATGAATATGTCATACACTTAAATATAAAAATGCAGATCTAAAATTATACTTATACAATAATCATTTGACTTAGCTATTTTTTTTAGATTTTAAAAGAAAGACAGTAATACTCATCCTTATATTATATATACATAATATATATTAAAAAACATCCATTCCAAACAACATGTTGATGATAATACAATGGGTATGTTCCGATATACACTGCTAGCACTGCTCAGTGCTCTCACTGGTGAAAAATTTGATCCATTATGGACTGCCAGTATACTGCCAAAGTACCCTAAGGAAATATGTGATGTCATAAATCACCGCCATTTTTGTACTGTGAGCACTGGCGCTTTCGAGGTAAGGTGCTCTCAGTACTTTGATCACTTCCAGCTTTCACAAAATGATTATTATTATTATTAATTAATATAGTTATTCAAAGAAGTTATTTTTTTTTATAGGATAAGGGTGACAAACGAGCACACAGTCCATCTGATGGTAAGTGCTTGCTGCGGCCCATAGACATCTACATCTATCCTCTATTAAAAATCAAAATGCAGATGCGTTGTCAGTCATGAAGGACTAAGAAAGAATGCCTCTTTTCCAGTAAAATGGGTCTCCGGTTCTCTACACTCACCATGCGATACACAACAGCGTAAAGCTGCTATTTTACGTTGGTATTCTGTGAGAGCGTGGTCCTTCCCCGGTCGAGCTGACCCATTCGTGCTACAACTATACTACTAATATAGCTGCAGCATGGCTCTCCAACGTAAAAATAACTAACTTAATTTGGACATTAAGTTTTAAAAGCAACAACATTCAAATAATAATTTTTCTTGTTGAACAGAAAACATGTACATGATAAATATTTTCATTTGAAAATGGTGTCGAAAAAATAGCATGACAGTATATTGGACTGACAGTATTCTGGACTGTTCTGTTTTATACAGTAACCAGTATAGCAAACTATAAAGGAGACAACTTCACAGTATACTGAATTGATGTCACACCTTACAGTGGTCACAGTGTATATCCAAACACACCCAATATTTGTGTAAAAATTTTGCAAAAACTCTCAGCATATATACAAAAACATGTGTAAATTAAAAATCCTTAAAAACTAAAATTCCACTATTATCATTGTTTAACTAAATCAACAGGAACATTTAGATCTTGGGTGACTAACAGGGGATTTGAAACAAACCTTGACTTTTCAAGACTTGTAGCATTAACAACTTTAGGATTACCTTTCTCTTTAAAAGCAGTTCTTACCATTAGCACAATAGTATTGAGAAAACTAACTATAACATATATCCCACCAATTACAGAAAATAGGCGTAGAGTGAATTGTAAGAGGTTTTCTCTTTCCTGATATACTTTGATTTTTAATGCCGCCATGTCATACTTAAAAAAAATTCCGGGTACTCCATGTGAGCCTTTAGAATGACTGACTGGCCTTTCTAACTCCTTAACAGAATACTGGAATGTCTTGATTGTTTCAAATGTAGTGTCAATGTCAGTCGGTACCACTTCAATAAAATACTGATAAAGCATATTTTCATCACTGGTAATTTTTTCATCACCTTCTAAAGGATAGATTATTCCGTTAGCTGGACTTCCAAAACTAAGCCTATGTATTCTATGACTAAAATTTTGTGGGGTGTCATCAAATAACATGTTCAAATGTATGTGTCCTCTTGGTAAATGTAAACTCTTTCCAGCAGTTATGTGGAAATTTCCAGCAACTTTATTTAATGTTAAGACTCCATGAAGTCTACAAGCATCAGGACGATGGTTAGGTCTGGTTTTTCTAGGCGGTATAGTTGCTCGTACTGAGCCATGGCCTTTCTTCCATAGTAATTGCCAAATTGAATGGTACTCTTCACGTAAATAAGAATTAAGATACTTGACCGCATCAAAAGCATCCTGCTGTTCCTGAGTCAAATCAAACCAAGTATCTTCTTCTTGTAATTCACCAAAACCGAAGACACTCTGTGACGTAGAGTCTAAAATATCCGCCCCTAAATTGGAACAAGGCATCGCAACTGTAATATCAATATTTATTTGCAATTTTTCGTCCATGTCTGTATCTGGCATAAACTTAAACACTAAGTTACTGTCTAAATAATACGTTACTTCACTATAAACTAGCCACATAATAATAAAAAATGTGATAAGGGAGAATGTTCCACCAACCGGTGTGCTATCAACATATTCTTCAGGAACTTTAGGAAAAGCATCCAATTCCTTAACTTTGTCCAAGACTTTCTTTTTTCCTCGGTACCTTATCATCTTATCACCAAACTTTATAAACAACGCTAAATTTTTATTGTTTTGTAACGTAAGCGGGCGGAAAGTGTAGGTTCAGTTCAGGTCATTGACATTGACGTTGACGTGTTTTTGAGTTTTTATTTATTAACATTTGGGCTTAGATGCTTGTCTTTTAAGCCATGGCTTGATTTCATTCGCGATCTTCGTTTTTACAGATTTTCAGTATCAAGTGATAATAATCATTTTAGTGCATTGCTTCACAATATATTGACGTGTCACTGTGACAGTCACATTTCGTAGTGTTTAGGAGATTTTGACAGCAACTTGAGCTAGCAGACAGTTGGCGATGGTATCTCAAGGCACCTAATTAGATAGACACATTATCTTGAGATTCACATCACCATCAGATCACTTGTTTCACCATTTCCACTAATAGTTAACATTTGCAGACATTTAATACACAAAATCCCACCACTTTTACATATCAAAATCCATTTGAAATCATTATTTATACAATAATACAAGTGGCTTCACTACAGTAATTTAGTGATTGCTTAATCCGCCGCCAGTCAAGTTCCCGCAAAAACTGTGTTTTAGAATTTTCTCAAAAATTTTAGAGAGTATGCTCATCTCACTTATATGTACTCTGTGAGAGTGCATAATTTCAATTTCAACCAATTACAGGTTCATAATTACAGTCACAATCACAATTATATATATGTTTAGCAAAATAGCAAATATTTTTTTAATAAGGTCAATAGATTTACTTACAGTTCCAACTACAAACTCATGGAATGTGGAAATTATTTTCGTTTGTTTATTTCTTTATATTTGCTTCAAAAAGATAGCTAGGTACAAATTAAAATAGTTACAATTTATGATGTAAAATAGAGCTGCTTTTTGTTGTATTATGAATATTTGTTTTTAAATTTGATTTTGAAGTGAACTACCCGTGCGATTAAAGAATGGGACTGAACATGGTATCACCTCTATTCACGCCTCGCTCGCATACTCTCTGTTCACGTCTTTAGTTGCCCCGACAATGGTCGACCGTACCAGGGCCCATGAGTGGTAGTCGCGACGGGCAACCAAGGGAGGGGCCCAATGGCCTATGGATAGTTCTAAACTAATTGCAAATAAGCAAGCACCACTTACCGATTTCCGGAGGTAGGGTTGACCACAGGGTACCAGTCAGGTGGTAAGTGATGTGCATGTAAGTAGTGTGTAGTAGTGTGTACATGTGTAACCTGACATCCCGGTGAAGTCGGACCGCAGATCCTCAGGCGCTGATTTTCTCCAAATGTGGCCTCCAGTGGTCGATCATCAATCGAAACTTCTGCTATTATTTTCACTATATTTGTTTATCAACTTTATTGTACATTTAATTAACTTCAAAGTCAACCAACTCAACGTTCATCGAAATTAAAACAAGTGACACACGACACAAGTAACAAACCGTCGTTCAAAGTTCAATATTCAGTGTTTCGGGTTCACTTAGCACAAAATTACAAACACGGGAACGAACGCGGCCTCTTCTCGAGTCTCAAAGTTCAGCGTTCCACACAACAAGGCAAAACTCCCTCGCACTATATAAAAATGCCACGGAGCAACTCGTCGAATAAATTAAATGTCAATCAAGGTTAAGTTAATAATTCAAACTCAATACAAGCCGTCCGCCGCGCAACAATTATTGGCAATCAGTTAATCACTCAAAACTCAAATTAGGCCTCTTGTCACGTAACACTCAAAACAGACACTCAATTCGAGGCTCAACCGGACCTACATTCGATAGCAAATTCAACCGACGCGTACAATTATGGACCCCAGCCGCGCCTGACCCATTAACGGTCGCAAACAACACTAGTCAACAATGCCACGGCGTTCAATACACTGTTCACTTTGCCCACGCGTCGAGCGACTAAGCGGTGAGCGGAGAGACGCGCGCACGGGGCGCCAGGCTGACTGCCACCATCGAACGCACGCGCCGCGCGCGCATCTTGATGCAAGTTTTGAACATATTATGATTTAGCTTAAACACTCTCGCTATCTATATTCACACGTGCCGGTAATTACTGCAAATAAAATACGTTTTTCGTACGTTCTATAACTTCAGTCCAACTTGTCTTTGGAATTAATGATAACAAAATAATATAAACTACAAAAAAATCTGTCCGGTTTGGCTAATTTGTGAGCTTTGACGCGTTCTGAGACTTTTCTTTACAATTTATTTCATTAGTTACATGGATTCGCTTACTACACCTTTACAAAATCATGACGTGACGGAATTGCAATTGCGTATGGGTAAGCTGGACACATTGTATAACCAATATGATGAGGTGAAGCTTAGCTTCACCTCATTGCCGTGTAGTGGCGGTCAAGAATATCCACTACCCCATATCCTCCCGTGGGTGTCTTAAAAGGCGACAAAGGGAAACAGGCAGGAGATGGGCAGCAGCATCTTCCTGATAATAGCCAATATTACTATAAAAAAACTGCGGTTGCTAACCCGCTCGCCTATCGTGGCAACTATGGCAAATACCCCCCAATGATTAAAGCAACAAACAGACGGCCCCCAGTCCCCGGCGGCCCCGCTATTCCTGGCTACGGTGGCGTCCATGGTAACGGCGGGGCAGGGGGTGCTAAGAATCTCCGGTGGAGGTTCGGTTGCCACCTTAGACGACTCGACCTGACAACGTACAACGCACGCACCCTGAGGACTAACGAGAAGATCGTGGAGCTGGAAGAAGAGATAGACAAGTTGCGCTGGCATATTATAGGATTATCCGAAGTCCGAAGAGAGGGAGAGGACACGGTAATCCTCGAATCCGGCAACTTGCTCTATCACCGGGAGGGCGACCATCTGTCCCAAGGAGGTGTCGGATTTATTGTCCACAAGTCTCTCGTTAACAACGTTGTAAAGATCGGGAGTGTGTCGACGAGGGTTGCGTACCTTATACTCAGAATCACCAAACGGTATTCGCCGAAGGTCATACAGGTTTACGCACCAACCTCGGCACACCCCGATGAGGAGGTGGAGGAAATGTATGAGGATATCTCTAGAGCCATGCATTCCTCCAAAACCCAATATACGGTGTTAATGGGAGACTTCAATGCAAAACTAGGCACAAGAGAGAACGGTGAGCTGAAAGTAGGGAAATTTGGAATAGGGCAACGGAACCCAAGGGGCCAGCAGCTGGCTCACTTCATGGAGAAAGAGGGACTCTTTATTATGAACTCTTTCTTCCAGAAGCGGCCGCATAGGAAGTGGACCTGTTCGAGCCCCGACGGTTCGACGAAAAATGAGATTGACTTCATTATGACGACCAGACGACAACTGTTCAGTGATGTCTCCGTGATCGCGAGGGTGAAAACTGGTAGCGATCACCGAATGGTTAGAGGCACACTGAACCTAAACGTTAAGGTGGAGAGGTCTCGTCTAATGAAGTCAACGCTCCGTCCCCCTCGTGCTCTGTTCCAAAGTCCTGAAACCTTTCAGCTCGAGCTACAAAACCGTTTTCAGTGCCTAGAAGACTGCAATGAAGTGGACGATATGAATGACAAGCTCGTGGAAACTGTCCATGCGGTCGGAGCTAAGTTCTGCAAGACCCGCCGCAGAAGAACACAAAAACTCTCCGAACACATTCTTAATCTCATGGCTGTTAGACGGGAGATGAAGCTACATTCTTCAACAGACTTGACAGCATACAGGCATCTGAACAGACAGATCTCCAAATGCATGCGGCGGGACTTACGCAACTTCAATACAGCTCGTATTGAAGAAGCGATCGAGCGGAACCAAGGCTCCAAATTCTTTGCCAGAGATCTGTCTGCTAGAAAGAGCCAACTGTCAAATCTGAAGACAGAATGTGGCAGCATCGTTTCCGGGACACCTGAGATTTTGAGTGAGATTGAGAGGTTCTATGGGCAGCTGTACACGTCATCGTTGGAGCCACACGCAAGTGTGAGTAACGATCCAAGAGCGAGTCTCATCCGACACTATTCCGAAGATATCCTAGACGTCAGTCTGAGCGAGATTAGAATGGCTCTCCAGCACCTTAAAAACGGTAAGGCCCCAGGCGAGGATGGAATTACAGCGGAGCTTCTGAAAGCGGGTGCAAAACCGGTACTTGAAGTCCTTCAAAAGCTCTTTAATTCCGTCCTCCATGGTGGCATTACACCGGAGGCGTGGAGCAGAAGTGCGGTGGTCTTGTTCTTCAAGAAAGGTGACAACGCTCTCTTGAAGAACTACAGACCGATTTCCTTTCTGAGGCGCGTCTACGTGCTGTTTTCGAGAGTTATAACGAATCGTCTCACGCGCAGACTTGACGACTTCCAGCCACCCGAACAAGCCGGTTTCCGAAAGGGCTTTAGCATCATATACCACATACATACCCTTCGGCAAATTGTACAGAAGTACGAAGAGTACAATTTGCCACTATGTCTGGCGTATGTGGACTATGAGAAAGCCTTTAATTCCGTCGCAATTTGGGCGGTGCTGCAGTCCCTTCAGCGGTGCCAAGTTGACTGTCGGTATATCGAAGTGTTGAAGTGTTTGTACAGTAGAGCTACGATGACTATCCGAGTACAGAACCAGAGTACGAAACCTATCCAATTGCAGAGAGGTGTAAGACAGTGTGACGTCATATCTCCGAAACTCTTCACCGCTGCATTGGAAGACGTTTTCAAGCTTCTGGACTGGAAAGGATACGGTATCAACATCAATGGCGAGTACATCACTCACCTTCGATTTGCCGACGATATAGGCCTTATGGCAGAATCGCTGGAGGACCTAAGCACTATGCTCAATGACCTCAATAGTGTCTCCCAACGGATAGGTCTTAAGATGAACATGGACAAAACAAAGATTATGTTTAATGTCCATGTCACACCTATGCCGGTAGTTGTTGGGAGCACTAAGCTCGAAGTTGTTGACGAGTATGTTTACCTGGGACAAATAGTCCGACTAGGTAAGTCCAACTTCGACCGATAGGTCAATCGACGGATTCAACTCGGCTGGGCAG